AGACAGCACACCCGACTTCTTGGCTCCACACCTACAAAAACAAAGATAGCAAAACCACAGCAACAAATATGCATATCTATATAATTATAATGACTATAGCCTTGCTGAAAACCATACCCATATACATATATAAATTTATACATATACACATAAACATACCCATACCTACATATCCAAACACTTTCATATATATAAATTCACACACATTTATCTATACATACACAAATGCATATACTGTACCATTCAGTCAGTGCCCGAATAGAAAACCCAGGATGTAAACACCTGTTTGTATGTAGTTGTGAACATGCATGGATATCTCGAATGGAATGTTTCAAAGTGACTGTGGRGGACCACAGACCCAACCCGCAAAGCCGGAAGCCGACATAAGGGAGACCAGCGCCAAAGACCCCGAGAGGGACCCCAAGCGCGCAGCCCCAGAGACACCCGCGCCGGAAGGGCTGCCCACCCACCCCCCAAAGTGGACCACAGGAGAGAACCGGAAGAGCCCCACCAGCGACCACACACAGCAACCCCTGGGGCCAGCAGCGACGAACTCACAGGCCCTGCTGGTACCCACCACGCCAGAGTGGATCCAGGCATGGACACAGAGGCCCATGCCCCCAGGGCGCACCCCCCACTCCCCAGGCCAAGGCCCAACAGGGCCAGAGGGACCCAAGCCCCACTGGGCAGCCACCAGGCCGAGCCGGCACACGCCCAAGCACCTAGCCCAGGACAACGAGAGCCACCAGTGCACCAGCGGGCAAAGGCACAACCCACCAGAGGACAGCACGGCAGGGGAGTAATGGGCCCTCAAATGATCCCAAAGAAGGGGCCGGCCAAGTCCCAGCCTGACAAAAATACAAGCATACAAAAACACAATCACACAGTCCCACCCACATCATCTCACCCACTCATTCAAAGACACACAAGATGGATGCCACAATCCACTCACACTCCCCATACATACTCTATACCACCCAGGTCCAGGATATGCACCCACCCCCTGCAGAGGGCAGCTTACACCTGAACCCAGGAGGTAGACCCCTTCAATCTGGGGTGGAGAGGAGCAGACAGCCAAGTCCCAGCCCGGGCCGCACCAGTCCGACCAACCAGCCYCCTGCCCCAGCAAAGCCACRCCCYGGACYACYCCCACACCCTATCAAYGGCCAGGTGCYCACCCCCCAACCGACCACCCCCCAGACTCYGGCAACCAYYCCAGCCAGCGGGCCAACCACAGCAACCAGGAGCCAGACTCCGGGAGCCCGAACAGCCCCAGGGAAGCCAGAGCGCCAGCCCCGCTTCCGGAGCCCCTCCAAGCCCCATGTCTGCCCACAGCCCAGGCCCCATCAGACGGTCAGCCCCATGACCTGCAGTACATCTAGACTGAGTGACTGACTGAGCACAGGCCAAGTGCTTATGCATTGTTCAGGTGGAAGAAAAAGTAGTTCCTCCAACCACAAATGATTTAGACAAGATGTGAATAGTTTTGTTATTTTCCACTGTTTTCTTGTTAATGATATATACACTATTTAAAATAACTAAAGTATCAAAGTATCGATACTTTGATTTTAGTATCGATTCTAGAACATAATGCTCTGGTATCGGCAGTATCGATACTTCAGTATCGATCTGTACATCACTAAACACCACTACATTGTAGGGTGGAATTTTAAGCAAGAAAAATAAGGATGGAGATACAGTATACAGATAAACCAAATCTAGGCAAAACTAACATCCACACCACCATACATACGTGTTATTTATTTATTTTCACTCTGCAGGACTTCTTTCATTACAGTGAAGTATTGAGATATTTCAAACCTGCACGTGARCAATATGTCAAATAGAGTTAGACCACCTGACAGATTTTGATCTTACACACAATCCTCCAAGCAAAAAGTCTGTAATAGTCACACAATCCAACTAGTGGGGCTGAGAAGAGGACTGCTGKCTGTGGGGAAAGCAATGCATGGCAGCGATAACAGCACCTGCAGCAGGGAGGAGGATGAGGAAAGGTGAAAACTTATTTTTAGCAACAGAGCGAGTTGGGAAATGGTTATTTAATTTTACTTATTGTTTTTTATGTCCTGGGGCTCTGAGATGTAAAATAAACTTAAAGCTGACTTTTTGAAAAAAAAAAATCTGTTCATACATATACCTGCGAAATGGTTGAAAATCTGTGCAATTTACAGACAATCTGTACAACTTGACGTATGAACAGGCTCATGACACAAACTAACAAACTACTGTCTGAATGGTCAAGGGTGTAATCACCATCTCAGACGTGAGGAGGGACACATTTTTCAGAGGTCTACTGAGTGATTTATTAAATTCTCATGTTCAATCACACCCCTCCATAGTGGCTGAAACACATACAACCAGTAACAACCACAGTCTAGCACCAGGAGACTGACTTTAGTTCTTTAAACTATTTACTAACTAAATCTAAAGTTTTATCTGACAAACTCAGTCATTAGATATGATAAATTGTGTCACATTAATTAACCTTATCTTAGCTGTAGCAGTGAGTTTAAAAACAGGATAATGAAACTAGTTTCATTAGTGCTCAAAAGCTAACAGAAGAACTGCAGAAGGTTGCCATATGGTTTAAAAAATCCCGTTTAACTTTAAATATTGAAAAGACTGTTTTTCACAAATCGGTATAAGCTCCAAACTTGTCCTGATATTTTGATAGATGGTCAGAAACAAAAAAAACATTAGTGAAATCAAATATTTAGGTGTTTTATTGGAGTCAAATTTGGGCTTTAAAAAACGTTTAAAAAAGTTAATAAACACTGTAAAATTTAATATAAATTTTAGATACCTAAGAAACTCACTGACGATTGAGGCATCAAACATGTATTTAAATACATTGATAATTCCACAGTTTCTGTATTGTATGACAAGATGGTCTCAGGGTTGTAAAACTGTTTTATGGCCACTGGAGTCATTATTTAAAYGGGCTCACAAGATCCATAATAAGAAAACACGGTTGTTTCATCATTGTCATATCCTTGTAAAGTATAACATTCTTAGTTTTGAGAATTTAATCAAATTTACAAATATGTGTCTGCTTTTCAAGATTATTCATGGTTCAGCTGCAACTCCCTTTAAAAAAATGTGTATCCCTTAACTCTGGGACAACATTCAGTCACACGTTCAACTATTCGTGGTGAGTGTAGAGTTCCTAAATGTAAAACTTATTCTGGTAAATCAGCTTTTTCAAGTGTTGCCATACAACAGTGGAATACTTTGCCAACAGAACTATGGATATGTACAAACTTTCATCAATTTTCATGCATGACAAAACGATGGCTTCTCTTAAACCAAACCTGCTCGCATAATGTCAACTGATGTGAGTGGAGTTTTTGATTTTAAGAGTATATATGATGACTTGTTGTAGAGTGATTCTTGCTTTTGGACATTGTAGGTATGTTTAATTGCCTGAAATGAAATTGCCTGAAATGATTTTTATTGAGTGGTTAGTCTTTGTAATGTATGTTTATTTTTATTAGATTTTTCTTCCATGAGTGGTGTTTATGATGACATCTTTTTGGGAGCATGGATGATTATAAATTGATTTTATATTGATTATGATTGTATGCCTTTGTATTGTATATTTATGATGTCTTTTGATTTTTTTCTTCTTCTTCTTTAGTTTATAATATTGTGTAAGCTGGGCTCAGGGATTACAGGTGGAAATTAGCTCCCAGAGCTATAACCTGATACAGTGCATCTTTACTTTTATGGCTAATGCATACTGTATATTGTTCCTGTTTTAAATAAAAATGTTTTTAACATATATAGTTTAATGAAGAATCTATCTCTGAAATAGTTATTAAATCAAGTGTTTATTTATGTAGGTAAAAGTATGTTTAACAACCTGGTAAAATGCACCAGAATGCTGGAAATAACTGACAAAAGAAAAAGAAAATGTTGATAGAATGATTCATCCATTGTGCTTGTTTTCTTTAAAAGACTCCTTAAATAATTTTATGCAAAGGAAAGACCAAGTTTTTAATAATGTTTCTAATGAGCTTTCCTGGCAGCAGAAAAATGTTGATCGTAAAAGCAAAAACAGGACGGACCTGTTTGATATGATACCAGAAACACTTTCAGTTTAATCTGAATTGATCAACACATTTTAGTCAGTTTTAAATTTGATAGTTGTTTGTTGTACATCTAGTTTAATTGTCTTCAGGAAGTTATACAAAACAGACAGAGCAGTGAACAATCAATGAGGAATCGACAAGTCTTACAGTAATGCTGCATTCCATTTAAATTGTATTCAGGGAACTGGTAAATGGTAGTGGCATCATTTCCCAACAAACCATATAAAACTGCATTCCAGTTAGCTGACAGATGAATTTATTGCTGCCTCTAACCTGCTACAAYACTGCTACAATTGTAGTAGTATCCTTTATTTAACCAGRAAAAAGACTCATTGAGATTTAAAACCTCTTTTCCAAGAGTGACCTGGCCAAGACAGCAGCAAAAAATGAAATAAACACACAAAAACAATAACAACAAATCCAAATTTCAAAGCACAAAACTAATAGACATCACATMACTAAACTTGAGGGCATCAACAGGTGCCAAGTGATCTGGTGTCTCTGTCCTTTAAAATTGATTTGAATTGTCCCAAGGTAACGAGAGATGATAACTTCAAATCCTTCTG